TGAATATTTACACTGTTAGCACCATTGCTTCAAGTGGGCGAAATTCAGTTTTGTGAACAATTTGTTTAATCACTTTGTTTGTGTTAAAAATTGTTTGAAAAATTAAATTTAAAGGAATTGTTTGTAAACAAGTATGCAACACATCGTACGCTTCAGCATAAGAAATTGCTGATACTAACTACGTAATACTACTTTGCCCTGTGCTGACAGCACTCATAATTTTCTTGATATATAATATTAAAATATAAAAATATGTTCCCTTTTTTACTCATAATCAAAATTATTCGAGTCTCAAACCCGAGCAACAAAAAAATAATCGCGATCACTTTCTTTACAGTTAAGTGCAGTTAGGTAAAAGATCATTATAGTTGTATAATGTGACATTAACATTTGTATTGTCACTAAATAGTTCTAAATAAGAGAAATAATTCGGCAAATAGGACAAAGCAATCAAATGGATGACATTTCCTAACATTGTATGAGAAACGATTTCCTGCTCTAGTTAGATCATAACAGAAACAAACGTGACCTGACGACTCATCATATGTTTCTTCTTTATCCTCCTTTTTTGTATTCTCTTCATCTAGAAACAAGTGGGTTTCGTCTCTTTGGGTTGTTAGACTTTATTTATTTCAATCCGCGATGCATGCCCTGTTAGTGTAGGTAACTGAACCAAATGAATAGGGCAAATTGCCTCTTCGGTTTTTCGTTTGTTAGTCTCAACAACAATGAGACATTCAGCTACTTGCCTTTGTCTTCCTACTAATTTGTAACGCAGATTCTATCTTTTAAGTAAACTGTCACTAAAATTTCTGCTTTAGATTAATTTTATTTTATATTTTTGACAGCTATTAGATCAACTAAGAGTTCTTCGAGTGAAAAAAAGACTTCATATTACATTATTTATAAGGCCAAATTAGGACCGTACTTTCGTCGATGATGCACAACACTTAAAAATTATTATAAAAGCAAGGCACACACATTTTTGATGTTTTAATTCACATGGACTTCCACACCCTAGAACATTATTATTAAAGGTGCTTGATGTCGTAGGACACCCGGAAGAACAAAATTTCTTACATTATTGACAAAAATTTTAGTCAAAGTATTTTGTAAGAATTTTTGACCAACATTGGTAGACCTTGGGAAGTTTCCATAGACCTAGGTGATTTAGAGTCAGCTTAGGGAAAAAGAGATGTTTATTTAATTTTTGATGTTGTACTTTAAATTTGTGCCAAATAAATTCTGGTTGTTTAAAGATTACCTGCACTTTGAAAATTTCTTTAAATATTTGTCAATAAGTTTATTTCTTCCTTCCTTTTTTGCGTCATATCTCCAAGGAAATTGGGGTAAAAAATTAGGAAATAGAAAAAAGAATTAATTTTTACTATAAAGGACTTCGTTTCTTAATAATATACTTGTGATGATAAAATAATGTTTATATCGCGGTCTTCAGACGATTTCTTGAAAAGATTACAAACATTTTTGAGAAAAACTAAACATTGACCGTGGCAGTTCTTGTCACTGACCGCAACAACTAGAATTTCTTGAAAAAACAAAATTCTGATTTTCTTGAAAACTATTAAGGCAATTTCATCTTTTCAGGTAAATTTAATTTCAACAATAAATATAGTTTTAATTGGAGGCTTGCCTACGGTCTTTACCGCAGATAAACACCCACACTGTGGACATTCTTAGCGTGTGATTCACATATTTGTCTCTCATTTTTTCTTTCAGTGTTTATCTTCGGAGAAATCAGTGTGACCATTAATAATAATTGTTGTTAAGCCTTTACAGTTATGTCAAAATGTATCCTTTCGTCCCACTTCTATAACGTTTCTTCCGGTTTAAAAACAAAAAAAAATGACCGTTAAACTTTAAAATGCTTAAACAATGCAATGTACCTGTGTGTTTGCATTATTCAGTTATAAAGAGACATGTTTTTATTCGCATACAAACATCTGTAGGTACATCACTTTACAACTCATGTAATATAACGTAAACGCTTGTTATCTTCATAAAAAGTTGAATAACTGATTCGTTTAGACAATTTATAGTTTTAAAAACAACTTCGCTATTCGCATTTTAAGAATAATCAACCCTAAGGAGTAAGAAGAAATAAGGCATACTTACGCTTACAAGGTTTTGAATATGATTTTGTTTATCAATTAAATATCTGAAGAAAAAGGAATTAAAGTTCATCGAGTCTATTTTTTAATTAATAAAAAATTCCAAAAATACACGTAATTCATTATCATCATAACCTAATCTAATCTAGGTCTCTACCTTTCGTAACTACTGTTTCTGCTTCTAATATGTCTCTAACTACCCCGTCATCCCTGCGGTGGGGTTCTGCCAACCTATCTCGCCTATTTATTATTGAATTCCATAGCGTCCTTAGCTCTCCTACTAATACCTCGTCATTTCTAAACTTCTCTATCCACGGTATCCTCATCATTCGCCTGTAACGCCACATTTCGAATGTTTCTAGCCTATTCCCTTCTGTCGCCCCTACCATCCACGTTTCACGGCCGTAAAGAGCCATACTCCAGACATATACCTTTAAGAAACTTTTTGGAATTTCTAAATTAACTGTTCACTAGTATAGAAGTGACTTTTTTGTTAAAGGCGACTCTATCCTGCACTATTCTCTGTTTTATATCTCGACTGCTTCTTCCACCCTGAATTATCTAACTTCCTAGATACCGAAAATCAGCCACTTTTTCTAATTTTTCGTGTCCTATCTTCATTTTCACTCTTCCCCTACCCTTTATTCCCTTGCATTCATATTAAAAAATATAAAAAAATGGATATAAAATGAAATACACCAAAAATATTAAACAAGTCGATAAAACATCACTTATCGAGCATAAGTTTTAAAGCAATTTCGTGTATCTTTTCTAAAGTCTTCTGACCAGTATTGACCTGAGAATTCTACGAATAGTCGTTAACAACACCTGAAAGCCAATCCCAGACAGATTAGATATAGGTCATAAATTTTGGGCTTAATTCAATGCATTCCTAACCAAGCAGGAATCCATTGTGTTAAAAGGCTAGAAGCACAGAAGAATGTGGCTGGCATTTAGAATTACGATTTCAGATATAAAAGATACAAGATTACAGAGTTGGTTGACAACAACATTGAAGGAAAAATAAAAATTCATTTTTGTTACTTTTTCTCTACCTACACATCATTCCATTCATCACAAAATTTTCTAGTTTCTTTGATTCAATGCAAGTTTAAGTTGGGTAACACATTTCTTTTAATTTTGAAATCTTCTTTCATCAAAACACATTGCAATTGGACTGAATGTTTATTTAATAATAATGCACTCTGTTAATATTGTAACATAATAATGTTAAAATTTTTATAAATAACATAATTTGGAGTATGATTCAAATAGAATAGATATTAGACACGATAAAGTTTCCACCATTCGGAAAGGTCAAGGACAAAAGCGCGCATCTGTATATGTTTAAAACTGATAAAATTACATTTAAAAAACTTTATCACAGTTAGTTTTGTCCTTATGTCAGGCAACTAAAACTTACGACCAAAGGATGCGAATTAAGCGTCATTCAATTAGAGCCTTACAAAAAGCAATCTTACAAAGTAAATAATTTTTAAGGGATGATGAATATTAAAGTTCATTCGAGCATAACGAGTGTAATATGCAATTGTTTGGACTTTAGGTACGCGATTAAAAGGAAATTGTCTACGATTTAGTTGCATACTTTCCAGCAATGGAAATTTGAAATTGAATTTTTTGTTTTCTTTATGTAATTTTATTTTAAAGTTTATGCAAAATTTCTCCTTACTAATTAATATTAATTGCTACCTCATGTGTTAAAGAACAATATGACTGCAATTTATTCATACATTACTTCTAATCTTCCTGTTGTTGCATTTGAATAAGAATCATACAGACAAGTAATTGTTTTTGTAAGTAATCAGTTCTCAACTGACATGTGCTGTGAATAATAGAAGGTATTTTTTAAAAAGTAACTTTTTGTAAATTCCTACCTAATTTATTTCGAGACCAAGCAAATTAAAATGATTCCCATTCGCTGTATTATTATATGATTATGAAACGAATCTGAATTAAACTTTTCTTACAAAATTAGCCCATATTACCATATATGTAAATTCGTAAATATGTATTGTTACAACGGAAAGGGTTTACCAAAGCTAACGATAGCCTTCTAGATACCGTAAAATAATTGTGAGGAAGGATTATGATAAACAATTTTGAATCACGCTAGAACCTATAATTTATATACCACCATAATAATGATTTTAATTGATGATAAATAAAAACGAATTGCATTTATTGTAAAGTTATTCGGGTTTTACATAGAAACTTTAACTAAAAATGTTCTATGTTCTTGTCTTTGAGGTAAATTCATGCATTCAATAAAATTAAATGATAAGTAGGTAATTCAATTTCATATTCATATTAAATTACTGAAGTTGTTGTTACCAATGCAAAAAAGTTAGTTTAATGTTAGTAATAATCTAACCTTTACTTTTCAGTTAGAAAATTGTTGTAACACCTACCCTTGAATTTATTTTCTAATTAACAATAGTAAATTTACGGTCATACCTAATTGAGGACCGCCTCAAAAGAGCAACCAAATATTTTCGTTTACCTAACAAGCCCTAATGAGCGACTTATTTACGGCCCAAATCTCAGAAGGGAGGTTATGCTATGAAAAGTAAAATTCTCAAGATGTTTTTATATCTGCTTAAGTATTTTTTTAAAGATTCTACATTCACACCCTTTCAAAAATATTAAAACGAATTAGAATTCGAAAAGTTTAGGTACTTGTCGCTGTATGTATACGATAAGCATAAATGCTTTCAAATCAGCCCCCTGCACCCCAGAGTTTAGTTTGATCTACAGTTAAGCTGCATAGAAGCGCCCTTCTTAATTACTCTTTTACATGCTTTATTTGGTACGCCGTTAAGATACCCCCTAAAATTACTAAAAAACACTCACCACAAAAAGGAATTCCTTCTGGTAACCATTGTCCACCTGGGCTGCATACCCTTCTGGATGGACCTAAGAGTTCAAAGCCTCTTTCACAGAAATAAAGGGCAACGGTACCCGGTCCCCAATTTTCATCCGAGAATACTATGTGGGAATGGGCTGGGGCACCGGGATATCTACAAAGTTCCCCACTGAGCCGCGGCGCCCTAACTTCTTGCGACTGAGGAGGCGGCGAATCGGTAATTGTGGTAGTTTCTTCGATAATTGTGGTTTCTCCATCTCCTGTAAAAAAAAAATAAAAATAAATAGAGACCAGTTTAATACCTTTTACTCATTCTACATTATTTATTAAACCAAAGGTCTTGGTGTAAGCCTTTATTTTCTCAATTTGTTGTAATGCAAACTTACGTCATACCTATTTTAATGAATTTTGCAATATAAATGAGGTCGTTCATTGTAAGAGGTTTTAGTATGTTAAAATACCTTTAATTAACATTTCAGAATCGTTAAATTTAATTTAATTACGAAGAATGATCCTTTAATTGTGTGCTGGCACATCTAAACCATATTGCTCAATGTGATACACAATGTCAGAATTTATCATGTTACTAAATTTGATACAACTGGAGACTATTTATAAGCTCTAGTGTTTGTTATGTGGGACAAAAAGGAAAATCGTTTAGAATGCACTATTAAAAGCATTTTAGATTACATAAATAAGAAAAAAAATTTAGAACTCATTTTTAGAAACTATAACCATCAATTTCCTTCTATTAAAAAGAAAAGTTTCAAAGAATACATTTAAAATTCCTAGAAATATTTGGATAATAACCCTGGACAAAAATTTTCAGTTTCTCTTCAGTCTCTTAGAGTCTTTCAGAGTCTCTCAGCCTCTCAGTTATTGTCTAGGTGTTTTTATGGATCTCTCACAGTCTCTGTATGAGAGACTCGAACGATAAAATTGTTAATTCAGAGATTCGAGTTTCTAACAATGAGACAGAATGAATAAAACTGAAAAATTAAATAACTCGAGTCTGTCATAGAAAGACTGGGATCTCTGACATATGTAGAACTTAGAAAATTTTAACCACGTCTACCGAGACACCACTTATTGAGAGATTACAGTCTCTCATTCAGAGACTGGATACGAAATGAGGATCTCTCTATGAGCGACTCGAGTCTCTCGTTCAGAGANATTGACTTACATTCCTCTGTTCTCCTATTCCTTCTAATATCTCTTCATTTCTAACCTTCTCTATCCACGATATCTCTCATCATTCGCCTGTAACACCACATTTCCAACGCTTCTAACTTTTCTTTTCCACCGCGCCCAGCGTCCATGTTTCGCACCCGTACAGCGCCGCGCTCGAAACACACCTTTAACAATCTTTCTCGAATTTCTAACATAGAAGTGACTTCTTTTTATTGAAGGCGACTCGACCCTGCGCTACCCTCTGCTTTATATCCCTACTACTCCTTGCATCCTGACTTATCTGACTTCCTAGATACCTAAAATCAGTCACTTCTTCTAATTTTTCGTCTCCTATCTTTCTATTAAAATTAAAATAGTGTTTTTCTGTTACAAAAATAGCAATAGCAATACAGAACCAAGAAATGAATCTGTAAAAAGCACTTTCCTGTTAAATATCTGAAACGAAAGTGGACAGTTGATACCAAAAACACATTAGCGGTCTGTGTATCTCGGATTAATTATTACAGCCATAAAATTTCTGCCACATAATACATAAATTGTAGGTTACTTCCGGCATTCCTAGTAATATAGTAAGCAGTAAGGTCCACTGTGTATGTGTGTGTGAGCAAAGAGTATCGTTGTCGTGTAGCAAAGGCAGAAACAAAGCAGAAACGACTGAATCGACATTGCAATTTACACTTGCTTGGTTTCGTTTGAAGATTGCTTGAATGCCTAGTTCAAAGTCTCGACCTAAACAATGATCCGAATCAGAGCGTGAAACCATAAGCCCCCGCTGACTCTATCATCAGTGCCAAACTAAGCCTACTCGTACACACGCTTAATACACTTCGTTAATAAGGAAATCTGTTACACAGCGACCTCCATAAAGTCATATAAATATGTTTTGCTTTTCGGAACTAAATAGCATTTTAATCAGATAATTTCGTAATGCAATAATTCCTCATCATGTATACAAAACTAAAATAACCTTTTCTGCATGGGAAATTTTACGAAAATTTTGGAACATTTATATGAACCGGGGTTTTCCCGCGGATTTCTTCTTGCTGTTATTCTAAATAGATGTGAAAGACCATTGACGACCACATAAAACTAATTTTTCTATCCCTCGTTCCTTTTTTCTAGATAAAAGGTGCCCTACGTCCTTTTGTGTACCCCTGAAAACGCACTTACAAAATTTCATGATAAGTTTACCAGCGGCTTCGCTCGCGTTTATGTCCTAAATACATGTTACAGATCATCAACGACAACATAAAACTAATTTTTCTATCCCTCGGGGATCGTATTTTCTTTCTGGATAAAAGGTACCCTATGTCTTTTTCTGCTCCCCTGACAATGTGTGTGACAAATTTCATGATGATCAGTTGAATAGTTAAGACGTGAAACCGTAATAAACAAACAAAGTCACATAAATCACTATAGTACGTAGAAAAAACAATTAAATTTTTAGAAATGTTACAAAATAACTCAAATTTTAACGCAGTACAAATACTATATTTAGTATAGAAGCAGAATTCCCACCCCCCTTCAGGGGTAAGGGGGAATTTTTGCAAATTATAACCTACTAAGTGTTATAGGTAAAGAACACCATTTGTTTCTTTGCAAAGTTTTGGAAATATTTTCTTTAACATTGAGTCGTGTTTTTCGACCATTCCAAATTTCGATAATTGCCCAAAAATTTTTAAAAGTTGCGGCACATTTCTTTCCTTTCCAAGAATTACTAGACAAATTATTGTAAACAATTGGAAAAAACAAAAGCCACATAATAAAATATGCAGGTACTGTTTCTATTTTTATTTTACTCGTTGTTAATTACATATGAATAAATGATTTAAAATCCTTTTCGCAATCCTAATTGAACATCTCGTACTAATATCATTCCTTAATCATTTTTTCTTCAATAGATATTAACTCACCATGAACTAGATACAAGTATGATTTATATTCACCCTGAGAAGCAAATGTGTATCGAGGTGATCATTATTTATGTATTATAACTCTCCAGTAATAATGTTAATTGTTAATTTTTACAGAAATTTTTACATCATGAATTTATATAGGCATTCCAGAAATAATTTTACCAATCGATTTACCTTGATCTGTTATTAAATCAATTAGTTTAGTCTTACAGACGTTTTATTGCCTATATTAAGTCAACACAGCATGTTCATTTACACTTTAAAACAATGTAGTACCTAATCATTAACAATTCAACTATAATTGCATAACTGTCAGCTACTATTTTTCAACCTTAACATACACCGGCATATTTAGTCGCATGAATAATGTTTTTTTGAAAGCGAAATTGAATTTTAAAACATTTACACATATTTCACACGAAGATACGTAACTAGTGGCACAGTAAAAATTAATTAACGGCTTGTGCTAGCTTCGCCAGGAGTGGGGTTATTTTTAAATGTTAATATTAGAAGTGTATCATATGTGGTGTTATGATAGGAGGATGCTTAAAACATCGTAGGTAGATAAGGATATAAGTAAGAAAATATTATAAATAGTAGGAGGACTGGGCGCTGCGGACGTCTTTAAGAAATAGGCGAGATAGGTTGGTAGGACATCTTCTCAGGCATAAAAGGATAATTAGACACATATTAGAAGCACAAACAGGAGTTAAGTGGATCAGACCGAAAACAGTTAACGATAATATAGATAAAGATATAAATCAAGATATTAGGATCGAAAAAATGGAAATGCCTGTCCAGTCAGTTATCAGGATGAAAGCCTCATGATGATGATACATATCCGATCAGTTAGTCAGTCAGTACTGAAATTTCGAACTGAAAACTTTTTTATCAAAATAAAGAAAACAAAAAAATTAACTCTCTATAATATTTTAGTGTAAAACATCAAACGGAGGCTCCCGCGTTTTCTAATTTATTATTATCATAATAGTTTCATTTGGTGTCCTACCAATAGAGACCTATCTCGTCTATTTCTTATTGACTTACATTCCTCTGTTCTCCTATTCCTTCTAATATCTCTTCATTTCTAACCTTCTCTATCCACGATATCTCTCATCATTCGCCTGTAACACCACATTTCCAACGCTTCTAACTTTTCTTTTCCACCGCGCCCAGCGTCCATGTTTCGCACCCGTACAGCGCCGCGCTCGAAACACACCTTTAACAATCTTTCTCGAATTTCTAACATAGAAGTGACTTCTTTTTATTGAAGGCGACTCGACCCTGCGCTACCCTCTGCTTTATATCCCTACTACTCCTTGCATCCTGACTTATCTGACTTCCTAGATACCTAAAATCAGTCACTTCTTCTAATTTTTCGTCTCCTATCTTTCTATTAAAATTAAAATAGTGTTTTTCTGTTACAAAAATAGCAATAGCAATACAGAACCAAGAAATGAATCTGTAAAAAGCACTTTCCTGTTAAATATCTGAAACGAAAGTGGACAGTTGATACCAAAAACACATTAGCGGTCTGTGTATCTCGGATTAATTATTACAGCCATAAAATTTCTGCCACATAATACATAAATTGTAGGTTACTTCCGGCATTCCTAGTAATATAGTAAGCAGTAAGGTCCACTGTGTATGTGTGTGTGAGCAAAGAGTATCGTTGTCGTGTAGCAAAGGCAGAAACAAAGCAGAAACGACTGAATCGACATTGCAATTTACACTTGCTTGGTTTCGTTTGAAGATTGCTTGAATGCCTAGTTCAAAGTCTCGACCTAAACAATGATCCGAATCAGAGCGTGAAACCATAAGCCCCCGCTGACTCTATCATCAGTGCCAAACTAAGCCTACTCGTACACACGCTTAATACACTTCGTTAATAAGGAAATCTGTTACACAGCGACCTCCATAAAGTCATATAAATATGTTTTGCTTTTCGGAACTAAATAGCATTTTAATCAGATAATTTCGTAATGCAATAATTCCTCATCATGTATACAAAACTAAAATAACCTTTTCTGCATGGGAAATTTTACGAAAATTTTGGAACATTTATATGAACCGGGGTTTTCCCGCGGATTTCTTCTTGCTGTTATTCTAAATAGATGTGAAAGACCATTGACGACCACATAAAACTAA